GTGAGTATTACTTATTGATAATACTAATGTTGTGATTTATCTATTTTTCTTCAAAAGCAGTTTTTATATATCAATAATATCAGTTTTGTTATTTATTTGTTTTTGTTTAGTTTTGGTTTTTATTTATCGATAAGATTGGCGTTGTTATTTATCCATTTTTCTTTTGTGGTGAGTATGATTTATTGATAATATTGGTGTTGTTATTTATCTATTTTAACTATAGTGATAAGTATTGCTTATTGATAATATTGATATTGTTATTTATCTATTATTCTTTACTGGCGGTTTTTATTGATAATACTAATATTGCCATTTATCCATTTTTTCTTCATTAGTGTTTTTTATTTATCGATAATATTGGTGTTGTTGTTTATTTGGTTTTGTTTGGCTTTGATTCTTACTGATCGATATTGTTATTGTTATTGATTCATTTTTCTTTATTGGTGAGTATTACTTTTTGATAATATTGGTGTTGTTATTTATCTGTTCTAATTATAGTAGTGGTTCTTTTAATCATAGATCAATATGCCACTTGACTTAGACAGAATTGATGATTTAAATAAAACTCTTTTTATTCATATACAACTACCCAATGTACCAAGACCATCATTTATCTGGAATTATTTTGGACATTTATACAAAAAATCTAAAGGAAGCATTAGATCTTGACCGAATTTATTGTAAAGTGTGCTTTGAAAAAATAAAACAAGAATATCCTGATGCAAGTTTTTCTTCAGTTCGAAGACAAATTGGCACTTATAGTGCAACAAGTAGTACAGAAAATATGCGGAACCATTTTGTTAGCAACGCATCAAATAACAGAAGCACAAGCAATAAAGAAAACAAATAAACATATTGTTTCAATGTTTGCACGTAATCGTGACACAGCAAGTTCTTCACAACTGAAAGAAAAACTCGGACATCAATTGACTTTAATGTGTTGTAAAGATCTTCTTCCATTTTCAATTGTTGAAAATGAAGGTAGGAAATCCTAGAGAAGCTGTTATGCAACTATTAATTTTTTTTTATGTTTAGGTTTCCTAGATTTCTTAATCTCTAACAAAATCGTTAATGCGAAATATGATATTCCATCACGAACTACCTTATCACCTCTGAATCTTAATAAAATTTATAATGTATGTCTTGATAAAACAAAAGAACAAATAAAGTTATCAACAAACTACCCGACGATAACATGTGATGCATGGACTGACAAGTATAAACATCGTTCGTATATTTACATTACGATTCATTTTCTGGATTTAAAGTTGCAGCTACATAAATATAGTTTAAGAACGCAACCATTTAATGAAGCTCATACAGATGAATCAATAAAAGATCTTGTATCGAATGTTTTAATTGAATTTGGTATAAATCCAAATAGTGTAATTGTAGTAAGCAAATTTATTCATCAAAATTTCAGAAACTAGGGTCGTTTTATTTGCTTAGGTGTCGGATAAAGATGCAAATATGCGCAAAGCTTGGAGATTGTTAAATGTTATTCATATATTTTGTGTTGATCATGGAATTCACAATTTGTTAATGAAGGATTGTTTTCATAATATGAATTACGTTTCAGAAATATTAGATAAAATTCAATCAATTATTAACAAGCTTCATTATCATCAACATGAACTTGAAAATGAATATTTTCGATCGAATGAAAAACGTTTTAATGATTTGCTTTTATCCATTGATAAAACTGATGAAATCATAGATGCAGATTTAGCTTCGACATATATTGATGCTGATGATACACAAGTATTGAATAAAAAATTTCAAAATGATAATTTAGAAGCATTACGATTATCAGATGATTTAAAATTCAGGTCAAATGCTTGCAAAAACACATATAAGTCCACCTGTTCTGCATTGATCAATAACAATAATGATTTCAATAGATTTCACACTTTGAAAAAACGTATTGTAACATGTTGGAACACAGTTTTGATTATGCTTCGCTCCTATGCTGATAACATACTTGGTATTGAAGTTATACTCGGTCGATTAAAACATTTCGACTTAATATTAACTGCTGCTGAAAATGAAATTGTTCGTGATTTAATTCAATTTCTTTCTTTATTTGAATCAACAACTACGATTCTATCAGCATCAAAATCTTATCCAACTATCAGTTTATGCTTACTGTTAAGAATAGTAAGTATTTAAAATTAAAACTATAAATAGCTTTTCTTAAATACTAAGTAATGATAATCAGACTAGATCAGAAAAGGATACTTACAAACACTGAATGTCCTCTATGAATGTTGACATACTTTTCACGAATATATATTTAATACAATATTTAGTTTAAAAAAAATTTAATATGATGATTTATCCTAGGAAATTGAATCTCTGCTGCACAATGATGGATTGGAGTCATCAGTTATCCAAGATTTAAAATTTTTAATATCAGCAAACTTGGATAATCGATTTCCAGTGACTCCTCTATATATTTGTGCATTTTTACTTGATCCATCTTAATTAAAGATCGATATAAGTCGTTATTTAACTCAATGTCATACTACAAAAGAATTAATATTATCTGAAATGATTAAACAGTTCAAAATCAATCATTTTACACAAGCATTTGCAACAAACAATGCATCAATATCATCCCCATCACAATCGTGTTCATCAATAACAACAACAGCAACATCACACTCAAATCCATCAACAACAGCATCATCTACTTCAATGAAATGCAATTTGTCAGTGGAAAGTTTAAATTCACCGGTAAAACACTTGAAAAAACTTAAAGAAAATTTAATTCAGAAACACAAACCACCATCAACATCTGGTTTTGATCCTATTCTGGACGAAATACAAAATTATTTACAATTAGATATTAGTTATGATGATGTGCTTCAATTTTGGCGATCATCAGGAAATGCATTCCCTCATCTAAAAAGACTTGCTCAAATTGTTCTTGCTGTTCCTGCAACATCGACTCCAAGCGAACAAGTCTTTTCAACAACTGGTCTGATTCTCAACGCCAAAAGAATAATGCTCTTACCGGAAAATGTTGGGAAAATACAAATGATTCATGATAATTATAATTTATTAAAAAAAAACTTAACATTTATTTTTTTTTGTATTGTATTTTTCTAGTCTTATACTTTAAAGAGTGTAAATTTTGTATAGTTGCTCATGGTGTTACTAATTATATATTTTTTATTGTGTCATGATGTAAATTGCGGTTACTTCATGTATCTTATGTTAAAACGGTAATAAACATGGTTTGAAACAAATAGAAATATCTTACTTTCAAAAGAATATTTCAATTTTAAACTTGGCCGCCGCCGCCGTACGAGAATTTATAAATATCAGCCGGCGCCGCCGCCGTGTAGAGAAACATGACTAAATTATAGCCGTCGCCGCTGTAGAGCTTACTAATTGAAACTAGTAGCCGCCGCTGCTGGTCAAAAATTGAGAACTGTTGCCCGCCGCCGCCGTTCAACCGTTCGGCTTACACCTCTAGGTATAACGGTCGATTGATTTATCAGACCATTATTCTTACATATAAGCCACTCACATAAGCCACGACTGATTCCGCTCAATCGATGATCGCTGATTTGACTGGTTTTTATATATGTTATAGGGGCAAGTGTTTGACAAATTTTTACGCAAGCCGTTACAAAGAAAATATTGATCCGTTCTTGAGATATTTAAATTTTTCTGGAAGCATTATCGTCAAAAAGAGAACCGATATCTTTTTGCGATTTTTTGTGACATCTATATCTCTTCAAGAAGATATCCGTTTTGCTTCAAAGTTTCAGTTAAATTTCATCTTAGGTTGAGGTATTTGTCATCAGAAAAACAAGCTCAGATGGATGAACTATCGATGAGTTGATCTATACTTACAGATATATGGCAAAATTGTCATTTTTCGGTATTTTGTGCATATGTCTATCTCAAGAATGGATCATGTTAGGAAGCTGTAATATTGGTTGGAGAGAGATGTCATTGAGTACTAACTTTGATAGAACTCTCAGCTGTCTAGCTAATTTCTATGACTCAGGGGAGCCACTCCAAAAACGTGATTTTGGGCGAAATCATAGGTTTGGATGGGGCCGATCTGGAGCAAAATCAAGTCTATAGAAGTCTGTTCTGTATGATTTTAAACTATACACTTAATACTACAAAGTCCTACAAGAATTGGCTTGAGATGTTGTAGAATACTGTGCAGCCCCTTATTGGAAAATAAGTTCAAAAATGATCTTTTCCATGCTTAACTAAATCCGATTGGTTAGGAATTATTAATGATATTGCATGGTATGAAGTAAATTTCTATCCAGTATATATCAGCACACAATCCCAAAGTAGAGAAAAAATAGCTGATACGTGTATCTTCTTAAATATTTTGCAATTAGAATGGAATCAAACTGTAGTGACTAATTAGAAAATTCTGCATTGAAGTATTTTTAATGAAAACCATCATAGTCTCTGTTTTACACATTACAGTTGTTGTTTGACGTATCCATTTATCTAAAATCCTAACAAATATCTATGATCTATTGATAATATTTTGTAAATATGTTCCATATCCACTATTAATTAAAGGTTCATTGAAATTTTTTATTTGATAATTATTGATATAATTTTTTGTGTATGCTATTTCTTCAATACAACCAATATTAATGCCATTTTCTATTTCCATTAAGCAAACAAATTGTGAAGTATCATTTAATGATTGCAAGGCTTCCATAGGATGTGAGTGTGGGGTGTGGGTGTAGGCGTTGATCTTCATTTTACCCACACCCACACCCGACAGAAATTTTTCAAAATAGGATGAGCATTCCTTCATCTTCACTCCAAAATTATTTGCTAAATCACAGTATTATATTTCTACTATTGTCCAAGAGTAGTTTTCGCTTAACTTTTTTTGTGGAGAGAAACTTGAGAAGATTATACTTTTTTTGCCATCTGTTTTTTTCGTAAAAAAAGGGTGGGTTCAGCCCACCCTAGTAAAAAGTCCTGGTGCTGCTACTATTCGTAACTGATAAATTGCTTTTGAATCAAGACGATGTGTATTATGCATAGGCCTATATAATACACATAATCTTGACTCAGTTGCGAGACTTCTCTCGTAAATTGTCTTTCATGTCTATGAGGAGGAGGTTCAAAGTTTCAATCTTTATACTTTAACACTTCTTTCAGATCATCTTTCATTAAAAAAAAAGCATTATATAAAAGTAGAATCGATCAAATAGATCATGATCCATACAAAAATTTTGACCAATTGATGATATACTTGTAGAGTCTATTCGATAAATGTTAGATATACTACCTGCCAGCCGATCAAATCTTTTATTAATACCCAAAATCGAATAGAGTACATCATTGCATTTCAGCTTTTTCATAATAGTAATTAACAGTTCGTCAGGCAAATCGAGCAAGTGAATGTTTCGATGTCTCATATTCATGATTAATTCAGCGGACTGCCGTCTGATGAAGTAACAAATGTATCGACTTTACTTTCGTTGCGATTCGCAAAAATAAGTGAAACATTGTTTAACTATTGAAATTGTCTTTTTTTTCTAGACGAATTATAATATTCTTGTTCGGAACAACTTCCCTTTATTAAAAAAAAATCAATGTTAACATTAATGGAAGAATGAAATATGAATGTTACGCAAATCTGAATATGTATTGATATTCAAATCAGAAAAAATTATTTACGATGAGAGACTTTTTTGAAATTACAATTCATGCAGCTTTCAGTCTAACTTATGACTTTTATAAAACTGGATATTGAAATTCTGATTTCAATTTAAAAAAATCTGAAACCTGCTATATCAACTGTTGTATTCAACATATAGTTATTTGTAAGATCTTATCAACATTAATATCAAAATCCAATCCAAAAGTCACTGTAAAATAAAACTCAAATGAATGATCTCTTACAAGAAAATTATTTTGGAAACTGTTTCTTGCGATCAATCAGTTATACACATGTAAATTTAATAATGGTCATTTGTTACTCTTTCTTAGCATGGACGAAAAATAACTAAATAATAATAATCGTTGTTAATCTTTTTTTTTTCTTTTTATTCTTTCATATTTATCTATATCAGTTACAGATAAATGAAAGTTTGTTTTCTCACAAATATAAATTTTTTCAGGCATGAACATAATAGAGGTCATTTAGAAAAACTTCTTACATTAGAAAAAAAATAGATGTCATATAATGTTGATTCTTATGCCAACAATACATGGTTTCATATCATGTGTCTACTATGTAGAGTGTTCTGGGTGACGTGTGGCTGTGGGTGTGGGTGTGGGTGTGGGTGTGAGTGCAGTTCTTATTTTAATCTACAGTGACGCCCACACACTGTACACCACGCTCATACATCCACATCTAAAATCTTAGACATGGTGCTATCTAAAACGGCTTGCTTTAAATGTAATTCGATTATTTCGATTAACTTGGTCATCAGATAATGAACTGCATATGCAACAATAAGTAAATATAAAAAATCTTATTTGACCAACTATTCCGTCGTATTTCAGTCGAACTTTGTTAAAGAAATGAAAAAAAGTTCCAAGATTATAAAAACGCATGTTTTACCATGTGACTAATAGAATTCAACAAAATGCGAAGTAACCTGTAGTTCTTATCATGATGTTTTCATAATCTATCATTACTTTGTGTTACTTTGTGCAAATAAGTAATTACAAAAGCAGCAGAAATTTACAACATACTATTCAACACTCGAAACATCTCAAGAATTTTTATCCATGTCGACTGAAAGGATTCCAACTCTTCTTACATTATCAGTAGAACTCATCTACCGAATACTTGATCATCTAAGTGATTTCAATATTTTATGCTCGATGCGAAACGTTTGTACACGTTTGAATGCAATTGTTGACAGTTACCATCGATATCAGGTAAAACACAGTTATATCTGAAAATGGAACTTTTATCATCTTCAACACATTATTAATTTATCTAAAATATCAATCTACATACCATCACCATAGTATTCTCCTTGGCTAATCACCAATTATTAGAGCAAACTGAATAAATTTGACGATCAGTTGAAAACTGTGATTGCCTACTAACAATAATTGAATTTAACTCAACAAATACCACTAGTAATAGTACAACAATCGCGAAAATCAGTATCATTTATTGAGATGGCAATAACCTAAAGAATTCTAAGCGAAATAAAACTTAAAAACAACGTTTCAAAAATTCTCATTTAAACCAAAGTAAAGAAAACACTACCAAGATCGATCCTATTCAGCATCAATATCTCAAAAACATTATTTTATTACTGATACGGAGCAATATATGAGCAGTTTCGTTCCATTGTATATAAGCTAAAACAACATACGCAATTCTAACAACGTTTAAGAAATAAGCGGAGGAGTCCAACAGTGTCATGAACCTGACAGAATCAGCACCTCTTTTCATATATAATAAATTTTTGTTTTCTACATCAAATATTGACGAATATGGGTGCTTATTATTCCGAATTTCTTGAATCGATACTGAACTTTTCAAATCTTCCCGGACCTCCAAAATATGCATTATCGATCCGACAATACATTGAAGATAATCACCATGCACTATAAAAAGAACCTCTATACTTACAACATTTTTCAGTGTTTCTTTTCACCAAAAAAAAATTTCTGTATGGATGAACTAAACCAAAGATTTCTCAAGTTAAGCAATTATTAAAGCTTATAGATTCTATTGCAATTCTTTACCCAACACATCAATCATTTCAATCTTCTTATTCTTATACATAGACACTAACCACACTAGACATTAGCTGTCATGGAATCGACCATAAAGCAGTACAATATCTTGGCAAAGCTCTCGAACATAACCAAGTGAGATCCTTATCTTTTCTATCTATCATTCACTGCATGTTCAAAACAGACACTAGTTAGACTGGAAGTGAGCCACAATCGAATCGGTGATGAAGGAGTACAACGTCTTTGCAAAGCTCTCGAACAAAACAAAGTAATATCCTCACCTTCTCTATCTATCATTCACTGCCTGTTCAAAACAGACACTAACCATACTTGAACTTCGTGACAATAAAATCAGTGATAAAGGTGTACAACATCTTGGCAAGGCTCTGAAACGAAACCAAGTAATGTCATCACCTTCTCTATCTATCATTTACTGCATGTTCAAAACAGACACTAATCACACTTATCCTCTCTTGGAATCACATCGGTCATCAAGGAACACAACATCTTGGCAAAGCTCTAGAACAAAATAAAGTAATATCAACACCGTCTTTATCTATCATTCGCTGCCTATTCAAAATAGACACTAAAAACACTGGACCTTAGCCACAATCAAACCGGTGATGAAGGAGCACAACATCTTGGCAAAGTTCTCGAACAAAACAAAGTAATAATCTCACCTTCTCTATCTGTCATTCAATGCCTTTTTAAAACAGACGCTAACAACACTGAATCTTCGTAGCAATAAAATCAGTCATGAAGGAGCACGACATCTTAGCAAAGGTCTCGAACAAAATCGAGTAAGATCTCTACCTTCTCTATATATCATTCACTGCCTGTTCAAAATAGACACTAACTACACTGGATCTTAGCTACAATCATATTGGTCATCAAGGAATACAACATCTTAGCAAAGCTCTCGAGCAAAACCAAGTAATATCATCACCTTCTCTATCTATCAGCCACTGCCTTTTCAAAATAGACTGTAACCACACTCACCCTCTATCAAGCTGAAATTGGTGATGAAGGAGCACAACATCTTGGTAAAGCTCTAGAACAAAATAAAGTAATATCAGCACTGCCTTTATCTATCATTCACTGCATGTTAAAAACAGACACTAACCACACTGAACCTCTGTCAAAATGGAATTGGCGATAAAGGAGCACAATATCTTGGCAAAGCTCTTGAACAAAACCAAGTAATATCAAACACCTGTTCTGTTTATCATTCATTACCTCTCCAAAGCAGACACTAAACACAATGGATCTTAGTCACAATCAAATCGGTGATGAAGGAGCACAACATCTTGGCAAAGCTCTCGAAAAAAACCAAGTAATATCATCATATTCTCTATCTATCATTCCTTATATATTCAAAATAGACACTAACCACATTGGATCTTAGCCGCAATCAAATCGATGATGAAGGAGTACAACATATTGGCAAAGCTCTCGAGCAAAACCAAGTAATATAGCCACCTTCTCTATCTATCAGTCACTGCCCTTTCAAAACAGACAGTAGCCACATTGAACCTGAGCTACAATCGAATAGGTCATCAAGGGGCACAATATCTTGGTAGAGCTCTGAAAGAAAACCAAGTAATATAATCATCTTCTCTGTCTATCATACATTGCCTCTTCAAAACAGGCACTAACCACGCTGGATCTCAATTGCAATCAAATCGGTACTCAAGGAGCACAATACCTTGGCAAAGCTCTCGAACGAAACCAAGTAATATTTCCACCTCCTCTATTTATCATTCACTGTCTGTTCAAAATAGACCCTAATCACATTGAACCTTAATGACAATGAAATTGATGTTCAAGGAGCACAACATCTTGCGAAAGCTCTCGAACAAAATCAAGTAATTACTCTCACCTTCTCTATCTATCATGCATTGCCTGTCCAAAATAGACACTAATCACACTGAATCTCTTTGACAATCAACTCAGTCGTCAAGGAGCAGAACGGCTTGCCAATGCTCGACAACAAAATCGAATACAATTTGTATTTTTGGATGATGACATGGATGACTTCTAAACTGGCATCTCTTATACTGGATATGAGGTTGTGCGTGCGGGTGCGAGTGCTCTACGATAATTGTGGCTTCTCTTTTACCATATTCATGCTTGCTTTTGAGCGATATTGTACAAGAGTTTCAATTGTACTCTTCGTTTAACCACGCTTTCTTTTCTTTTTTGTCTTCTCTTGATTGGTTTTACAACAGAATGACAGTATTTGTTTCTCATTGTCAAGCAATACTGCGTTCATAGAATACACAATAGCTATTGCTACCAACAAGCATGTTTTCACGGAGTTTTACTTCAGATGATCGAACAAAATTTGAACTGCATTTTAAATCTCTGTCGACTAGATATATTCAAGCGAGATGATGCAAAGATGTTCATGATGGGTGTGAAGTGTAGATGTGGGTGTCGACAGAGAGCAGAGCTATATCAACACCTACACCCACATTCACGCCATTGGTAGAGAGTTCAAAATCAAACTAGAATATACGTATTTCTTCTATAATAACTGTTGAAATGTTTCTATAGGGTGTCCAGTAAGTCACGAAACTAGAAAAAGAAAATCGAATATCATCGCCATATTTTGACCAAATGGGCTCATATCTGTTCTACTGGCAGAGGAGTGTTCATAGATCATGTTCATAAGTGAAGTGTTGTCAAAAACTGTTTTAAAGTATCACAACTAGCTTCAACAAGCAACTGTAACATTTTACTGACCATGGAAAAAACAATATGTTTATTCACTTGGCCAAGAATAAACGACATCTAATATTTTCGATTAATTCTCCTCACTAGTATTCTTTGTTCTATTATTTATTTCACAGATGCTTGTCTTGTTATTCAGTGTACGCTGAAAGTTTCAGCCGTACACAGCAAGAAATTAGTTGAAAAAACTGCAATGTTGGTTTTTCATAACTCGTGAATGGTTGTGGATGTGGGTGTGGGCGTAGGTCTGGTTGTGTGTGAGTGTGGGTGCGGGTGTATGTGATTCCCATCCACACCAAACCCCATACCCACACCCTCAATAATCCTATATACTTGTATCTTGCCTTGTACTTATGTGCAGAACAATAATTTCAGAATTACGTCGACATGCTCTTTGATAAGCTTTAAAAAGAAGTAGATTTTTTACTATCTCTTTAGAGTTTTATTTCAAAAATACACGATGATAGAAAATTTCAATCTGTATTAGACTATATAATTATTTTTTTCAAAAAGTGATTCTATTGGGATGAAAAATTTTGAGAAAACTAATTTTGACACCAGTGATAAAATCAAACTTATAGGAATCTGGACATGAGGGTACCTTCATTGCCCTCAATTTATTTTAATGGTAAATAGGTCAAAATGAAAACCTAATTATACAGGTTGATAGAAAATTTCACAGACTTTCACAATATGTAATTAGTTTTTAAAAAGTATGATCTTACAATGGAAATATATTCGAAATTCAGAGTCTAATTATTTTTTGCTGGGAGGATATACTCAAATGTTTACTTCGATAACGAAAATGATTCATAGGTTAGTTTGACTTTGATATATCATCAAGATATTCTTCTAATAATATTTTTGTTTTTGTGATATTAAAATAAATTTGATCTAGACGTTTCACGTATATCATAAGTAAATATATGATTAATAAGAGAAAAATTTTTCAAAAAAAAAATCGAAATAAAGAATCATAGAGTTATTCATAAAACAAAAATACTTTGAATGTTAATTTGTTTTTTGTCAGTAGAGCATTGAAGGATGAAAATATTCAATATTTGTCTTCTTAAGTAATCATGTTTGAATGATAATTGTTTTCTTTTGAGAATTTTTGCATAAAAAAATCTCCAAAAAAAACTGAAAAAACTCATCTCCATCGTTGGGTTTCATTCAAACGATTCAAATTTTTCAGAATTATCAAATCATTAAAAAAAAACTTAGTTTTTCGGTTGTTTCTTCCTTAATTTATGCAATGGAAAGAAATAAAAAATATGTGAGAAGCTACGATGTAAAATACCATTCTTTGTCGATTTAGTGTCTATTTTTTTTGGCAACAAACAATGTTGATATCAAATTTTTATTTTTTCTTTCCTTCTTGTGTTTTACTTCTTTCAATTCTTATTCCAATATTTGCACTGTCTGATAAATACACGGATTTCATTCATGAAGGGGGAAGAAATAAAGGAAAGCAACACTCATTTTTCATTTCATTTTTTCTTTGCTAGGTAGACATTGATGACTGAGAATTGATAGTTTTCATATTCATTGTCATATTTTCTCCTATTCTATCAATGTTCGGATAGCTACTGATTCTAAGTGAGTATGAATTCCATTGAAACGATGGACAAAAATTACATAGACATAATATAAAAAATTTTAATTGTCAATTTTAATATGCTTTTGCTGGAATTAATGTTCGATAAGAGGTAGTTCAGAAATGTTTCCTCGTGTCGCTATTTTCCTTGGTTCCATCGTCACTTAGATTATTACATATTCTCGATAAGTAAAGGCTTCTTATATGTAGATAGAGAAGTCATCACCCATGCTCATGCATAACTTGTGATAGCGAGTAGGTCGTCTGCTCGATTTAGGTAGATATGCAAAATGTTAAGCTTTCATATTTTAGCTTAAGAAAAATAGCATGAATGTATTTTCTCGATGTCTATCTCTCTATAATTCGACTGTGCATGTAGTTGAGCAATTGAAAAATATACTTATAGTGATAAAAATCGAGAAAATGCATACCGTTGTATCGATTCCCAAGTTGGCAGTGATCGTGCGTGATTGCGTCTTTCACAAATACTCAGTTTGGAGTGTCTTCTATTGCAGAACATTTCAACAAACTTCGATTTTCTAAAGAAAGATATGCACTATAGCCGAGCATTTTTTTAACAAAAATATTATCGATCATGATCTTGCTTTTGACGTTATTGTAGGTGCCCTAGCATCTAATATACTTTGTTGGTAATGTCTAGCACTTCTAGAAGCTATGTTTTCAGTAGATGAGACAAAATAATCGAATCAGTGTCATGAGCTAGTTTGAGAGTAGCATCATTTGAAGGAACATATCGATCTGTGTCGTGTGACATATTCAAACATTTCTCCAACAAAGCTCAGAAATTCCAATGTTCCATTCGATTTTAATAGGAAAAATAGAGATTTTTCTCAATTGGGAAATTTATGCCTTTTAAATAGAAGTTCATGCTGAGAAATATCTAAATCCATGAGTGCACAGTGTTTGAATATACCTGTGAAAGAGGTTTGAAAAACTTATTTCTTTAAATTCTAAAAGATAATATACAATGTGGCTGGTCTTTAATTGTACTTTTACGTTAAATATAAAATTTGAAATGGGATTTTAACACTTTAACTTCAACAAGTTCAAAGTTAAAGTCTCACACCTAGTCAAAAGACGAATGAGAAGATATTTTTATTTGGATTTAAAGAAGTATTTTAACATAAATGTTCTGATTTAAATAGTCAGTATATTTTGTATTATTGATGTATTCACTTTTTTTTTAAATATTTTTAATTTCTATAAAACTTTGACAGTAGAATATCAATGAAAATAAAATTACATAAATTGACATGTGTCTCTCTTGTTACAAGAAAAAAAATCATACTTGAATCTTATTGATATTCTTATATTCTTCGATATTCTTTAGCTTTTTTCACATAATCAACGGCAAAATATAATATGATACATTAAAACACGACTGCACAAATGTACTATTTATCTTTCTGTTAGCTATTTATTTTCCATTACTTTATATACAGCTATAGAGAGAGCATCCTAAGAAAGAACTAGTCTTTACATGCCCAGATGATACTTTAGACTAGTCAAGCCACTCGTATTCGATAGATTGCAAATCTTCCGTAAAATGGACGAGCGTAATTCTGTTATTTGGGAAGTCACAAATGTCATCTGCCTATCATTGTATTATGGTCTACGGTCATGATGCCCGTCAGATATTGAAGACGAACGGGTCGGATACTCGAATTTATCAAGGGGGAAAAAGCTGATTGTAATCAATGAGAGATAGGACATATTCTAAGGTCGACAGATAATGTTGCCCGTTTCGATTCAAGCTTATTAAGGGTTGTCTATAATTTGCCTCGAACAGCATGACGTTGACTCCTCACAATAGTGAAATACCAGAGATGCAAAAAAATGGAGGGGAGCGGGTGAACAAGCTTTTTTAGATCGTGCTTTGTTCCACTGTTGTAAGGATGAGAGATATTGATGTTCGGGGCGAATTTTAAAGGATCATTGAAAACCTATAATCGATACGAGCACCATTATGTTTTGTCCTTGCAATAGTAGAAAAAATCATAACAGAAATGACGGCTTATCTTTCGTCTTCTTGTTCGCTATTGTACGGATGAAACATGGGATTGTTCTGGCCAACTTAGGATTAGGAGAAGTTCTCTGATAAATGTCCCGTACAACACCTGGGATGTATGTTCTCCGTTTCAAAAATCAATCTTAAATATAGAGTATTCTAATTCATTGTACGTGGTAAAGTATTGTGTGCACTTTACTTTGCTGTGTAAGTAAAGATAAGATATCATTCTTAGTTCAAAGACAGAAATCTCATAGTGGTCAAAAAAACCTCGGATCGACGATTTCTCGATACAAACGAATCTGGATAATCATTGGCAATCAAAGAAATCAAAATTTCAGCTTTTTCCCCCTTGGAATCTACCTGTTATCTCCTTTTTTTAAATTACTCTTCTATTTTCCTAACGAGTCTGGACGGCTTCACAGATAAAACGCGCTAGATCTGACAGTTATTGCGGACATTTCGAACTAGTCAAGGCAGACGTCTTCACTGTTTTTCTGCTCACTTGGGTTGAAACTATTTTACTTCCAAATAGTAAATTTTCTTAGAAAATATATGAACTAAATATTCATATTTTTTCTATCTACTCGAACATCCTCACTATACACGTCACGAATAATATTCAAAAAAATGATATCATCAATAAATGATTATTAAGAATATTTCAAAGATTTTTAGATTATACAGAATCTTCAAAATCCTTAAAGGGTTTGCGATAAGAAGATTTTTCAACCAATTTTTTTACTATTCTTCAGCAAGTTCAAACTTAAATAATACAATGATTTTAATTGCGGGTAAGTTGCAATATTCTGAAAAACAAATCACACTATGATTTCGTTATGGATTAGGTGCGGTTGCGGTAGCGATTGCGATAGCAATTGCGGTGGCGGTAGCTGTTGTCATTGTCATCATTATCGTAGTATGTTGTTGTTTTGGTGGTGGCTTTGCTCTTTGGAAAAGAAACAAAAACTCCAGAACACCAGGACGATTCTCATATTTTTGTTGTCCACCTGATCGAACGAAAATTGATTTAATTCCCAGTGATGAAGAAAAATTAAGAGACTGTCCATGATCCAATCGAGAAATCGTGTCACATGAAAAATTTTGACCTCTATCTATTTTATTATTGCAAATGAAAGAGCATGTCAAGAAATCTCTAAATCCAAAATTTTAGCTTTCCTTGAGTGATCCTTCAATAGTTATCAAAGAAACATTGAAAGAGTCTCCATGAAACTAAAAAATTTATATTATATTTTTTTTTTGATAAAAATTAATTGAATCAATTTAAGTAATATCTCGAAAGATAGAATAAATCTTGCTCTACAAAAGTGTATATTTAGATTTTCTTCACAACTATTCTAAACAGGTTTAATAAGGAGCAATGTTTCAACAAACATTAAAAAAAATACATATGTCAAAATGTTGAAAACTGTATGCTATTTTTCAACATTTTTATCGAAAAAATATTGTAAAACATATGAACTGAAAATAGTTTCTCATGGATTCGATAGAGCGAAAAGAAGCTCTACAAAATACAGTAGAAAAAGAAATCTAAAGATGTGCACCAATTATTCAAATTTCGTCAAAAAGACGAGAGAACACTATCATTTTACGACATTTTTTTTCTGATATTTTCAATTCGCCTGACACTCCATCCGTCTGTGAACCTATTTGCCATCTTTTTTCCACAGGTAGGTGGCGGAACATTTTCAAATGGCGAAAATCTCAGCGTGAGCTCATCGATTAGCGAAAACAAAGTTTATTCGGATTGTGGTCATTTAAAACATAAAGATATTAAGGTGCTAGATTGTGCTAGTTTCGAACTAACGTTTTCACCTCAGTACCTGTCTTTCAAATTGTAATAAAAAATTTCGATATTCTTCCTAATGAGAACGTTGGTGAGCTACGATGGTCAAAGCCGGATGATTGAACTATGGCGATATACAATTATAACACGAGGATTTACATGTTGAGGGCAATGAACCCTTTGGAAAAACTCAACCAGTCATAAATGAGCCAGCAGGTTTTGAAGGTAATTTCGTTCTATCTATGTTTGACAAATTTTTTAAAAGTTTGAAGAGATGTTGACTGACTTTCGTATTCATAGAAACCTACTAGCAAACTATTGAGATCAGATAAACTTGTTCTGTGTATATGATGACTGTCGACTAGAAGAAAATAATTCGGTATCTTAACCCTTTGATTCTCTTCACAGATAAGAACAATTGAGGCTGTGAGGATGTGGGTGTGAATGTGGGCGTAAGTAGAGGAGAAACAGCAACACCCACACTCCAAGAAGTGGCAAGGCAAACTGAAATCACTCTTAATTTCAATCTTTGATTTGAAAATTTTACCATAGGTAGCGTCTATCCCAATTACTTAATCTCAGCATTAACTATAGATTAATCGAGTAAAATAATGCAGAAAAAAATCATAAAACATGATTTATTTTGTATAAATTTAACGAAATTTCGTTATATCTGTCCAGAAAATCCACCAAAATAAATCGTGTTTTATCGGTTTTTTTCTGCACTATTTTACTCGATTAATCTATGGTTAATGGTGAGATTGAGTATGTCAAAGAGCTATCCATCTATGGTAAAATTTTCCAATCAAATATTGAAATTAAGATCGATTTTAGCTTGACTCATTACTTTTTATTTGCTACTTTAAACTGAAATTATTCAGCATGTAAGTCAAGTTTTTCCTAAATAATGAGCTAGATCTCTAAATGTCAAATGCGATTTTGTTTCAGATCGCTGACCGCTTTCGACGATAATATATCTAAATAAAATGTGAAAATTGAACAACATTTTTCACAAAAGTAGTAGAAGCCTTACGAATTTACCGAATTTGAACTTTCTAAGTCATTGACACAACCGAACATAAGAAATGAACTACACTTAAATCAATTAATCTTTACGCAAATGTAGAAATACACTTTGCGATGGGAATATTATCGGAATCTTATGATTTGCCTAAATATCAACGGAATCGAATGCATCTAAGAAATGAATCTCAAGAAATCTGTGTGGAGCCATGAAGCAAACTTTTGTCTACGGTAAAGACTGAGGGGATTTTTCGTTAATTTTTTTCAAAATTAAAACTGTTATTTGTGTGATAGAACGAAACTGGTAACTTTAATAAATCTTAGGAATAAATCAATGTCAGCATATCAGTTATTAATATGACTTGTGTCTATTCCTACCCTGTCATAATTGTCACACACTTTGAAAATAGACTCTGCCGTATATTCGCATTAACGCAATATCAGCTACAGAAAGAAAAAAAACAGCGCAAAGGAGCTATGATTGGAGTGGTAAAGCTCTGCTACCATCGGATTATCTTTCTTTTAATCAACATTTTTCAAATAAACTCATGAAAAAACTATTATCATACATTAAAACTGAGAAATGTTCACCCTATCAGAGATAATCGGGTCAAATCCGGGTAAGACTTAAACTGTTCTCGGTCTCCATGTTCTGCCGTCTATGTTTCCACAGTCAAATAAATAAAATATTATGTACAATGACGAACTGCCTTTTACTCATTAAGTTTTTTGTAGTTTTCTTTCTGAATTCAAAAGAAAACAAAACTTCATTTTTATATGAAATAGTGGATCTATAGCTATTAGCTATACATTCTTTTAAATATGGCGAATCTATAGTATAAACCTACCAGGATCTACCGTATTTATAAAAATGTATGGATTATTGCTATAGACTCACCATTTCATATAAAAATAAAGTCTTTTTTTTTCTTTCCAATTGAGAGAAAAATTTTTTTTTTCATATTTATTTTATTGTTTCCACAAGGGTTAACAATTATCTGCTCTCAAGTTAATCTGAGAAAATCATGCAGAAAAAGAAAAAGAAGAAAAGAGTATATGTAATATCTTAATTTTCGATAGTGATTTATCTTTATATATGCTATTTCGTTTCTTTCGTTCTCTTAGAACTGTCTTTTGTGTGCATTCATGAAGGAGAAGAAATCCAAATATGTATGATTCGCTCGTTCAAAGAGTCTATTTGCAAATTTATTATTTCTCCTTACACACATATTTCTATAATATTTTTTTGAAGAGTCAGTCATTATCAGAAAAGCTGTCCGTGTTCGCCTATATGAATCTGCTTCAGGTGATTCATCAAGATGTTAACATAAGATTGTATAACATTCATATTCCCACAAACTATACACCAATCTTAAACTTGTTCCATAGACGTGTTCTATTTTTTCTTTTTGCTTTTCAGTATAGTGAAACTACGTAGAAAAAAGCCAAGTTAGATGTGGAAGTGAAAACGCACAGAATAATTTTTTCTTTATTTTAATTTCCTCCTTCGGTATCGTTCTATATATTTTTCTCAAAGCGCAATAACTATTTTTAATTTTGTTCAATCGATCGTCTATGTATTTACCTAATTCTAACTAATGAAAGAAAAATCACTACAGTAGTTATTCTGAAGATTGTTACCCAAAAAATTCATCAATTTGATGACTCTGAAAACTCCAAAATCGTTGTATTGTGGTCATCACTTTTGCATCATTTTGTTCTATGATTTTGATTCACCATAATGGGTCGAAATAATTGCATCCGTTACGTTACCTTCGCTTTATCTGTATTCAATATGATTATTTCAAAAAATCAGAATCATTACATTAGTATCGTTAAGTTGAATATTTTTATTTCCGTGATTTCATCTATCTTAGAAAATACATATTAAAGATAACTAACAGTTGCCCCGTATAATGAATAGACCTCTCAATATTTTGCATATTTTTCACCTATAATTCAGCATAGAAAAAAAACTTTTTTTTTAAAAAGATTCCTTGTCAAACTCTCTATAAAATGTAGATATTTATATTATTTTAAACAGTTTCTATTATTTTATGACATGCAGTACAATCGTTTGGCCCATGAACTACAATTTTCAAAGACGATGTTTTCTCGAATTTTTTGCGCATACACGTTTCAATTGTTGGATTGTGGTTGTTTTGAATGTTCCTCTATTCCAGTCGATGATCTTTACAAACTCATCTCAAATTGTCTCGACACCTTTGTTGTGTTAAATGATGAATATATGGTTTAGCTCCATCTTCTTTGGAAAGTCTAATTGGGTGAGTGTGGGTTTTGATGTGGATAGAGGACAGTGAACATACACTCTGAAAATTTTCTACCTAGATGAAGACTGTAAGGGGGAAAAGCAACAAATTTTTTTTTTTTTTAGTGCATACATTCGAAGTTCGTTTCTTTTTGAGGGCTAATTGTGTCATATGGCCATGAAAAAATAAAAAACAAAATGTCTGAAGCTACAAAAAATTTTCCTCTCTAAATGAAGTACACTGTACATACAAATTTTCTCCATGTTTCTAATAAATAAAATCCCACCTCTCGTCTTGGCTCTCTTGAATAAAATAATAGAGTTTTACCTCTCAAACACATTCATTCCTTTGTGAATTGTTTACATCAGTACAAAAATAAATATCGAAGCATGTGTGCGTTTTTCTTCTGTCTGTATTGACTTACTAGGCTGTATTACTAATCTTTTTCAATATCAAGGTAGCAATTTGTAGTGAGTAAAGTTTATAACAACAACAATGACGAGGAGAAAAGAAAAATAAAAAATAAGCCAGTAAAAAATACACATAGAAGGTAAAAAAGAAACAAGAGAAATAATGTGATATGTAATTATATAAAAGAAAGGTATATCAACTGCGTGTTTTATTCGTAATCAGACTAAAAGAAAGTTTGCTGACGCAAATATGGCTTCTACTTTACATGTAATAATCATTCTGGCTCTGCACAGCTTAGGTATAGGACTTCAAAAACTTTCTGCATTTCTTTTCACTCTGCTTTTCTTAAATATAGTTGTTGCTCAGAATGCGTCTTCTTATCCATTGGGTATAGTGCATCAGGTGGGTAGCAGCGATTTATATGTATACGATGTCGTAGGTGATCAGGGGAATACAACAAATAAAAATGTTGCGATTATTGTTCTGTATGATATACGTGGCTTCAATGTGACAAATACACGACTATTCTGTGAACGTCTGGCATACGAGTATAAGACACGAGTGTTAATGCCGGACTTCTTCAGAGGTACGTTGAAAGACACAACACGAAAGATTTTCATCTTCTTCGAAAATTGTAGATCAACCCACAGCAAATGCAACCTGGTCACGTGTCCAACAAGATCTGCTGACTGTCAATACATATCTCAACTCACAAAACTATACTAAACTCGCTACCATCGGCTTCTGTTGGGGTGGTCTTCGGGTAATGAAAGCATGTGGAAATGGAAATAATAATTCCTGGACGAAAACACCATACTTCACCGGTATCAGTATCCACGGTTCACAGCTCAATGTGGCTGATGCAGAGGTGCTTCAAGCTCCAATGCTGTTCATTCGTGCCGGAAATGACCCGTCGTTAGATAATATAACGGCAGTTCTCAATCAAAAATCGTTCGGTAGCAAATGTGAATACAAAGTATATCAGAATATGACACATGGCTTTGTCAGCGCTGGAGCTAATTATTCTAATCCGGCAAATGTAGCTGCAATCGATGATGTACACCAGACAGTCCGAACATATTTGAGCAAGATATTGAGCGGTGGTTCCACAAATGTAAAAACATCATCACTGAAAATCGCATTCTTTCTTTTCGTGTTGAACAGTTTGTCAGCTTTGTGTAAGCAAAACATGTGAGAATGTCACTCATTCTACAGTTAATGCAGTTTTATTCGTTTTTTATTTATCACTTTCGAGTACAACACTGTTTTCTCTTTAAAGACTGGTGGATATAAGTGTGTGTTAGATTTTCTTCTCGCTCATAAGCCCATCCACCCATCTATCAAATCATGTGTAAAAAAACCTAAAAAGACAGCTTTTATTTTTCATTATTTGTAGCTTATATTAATATCGTTGTTTTAAATCATGTTTTCGTTTATCATATAACATATAAAATAAAATTAGAGAGTGTACCATAGTACAACATAATGAGCTCATTGTAATGACAAACTGAAGGAGTAGCTGATCGCTACCCTCGGTAATAATGTTTGTTCAGCTACTTCATACCTCTAGAGTGTGTCTGTACCATATACAACGCATGTTCATATGTGAGAGAAGAAGAGCAATAGATCGAAGATAAGAACCAAAGAATGAGTAGAAAGGGCAAGTAATGTATCAGAGAAATGTTCTAGTAAACCAGTTACACGACATAAGATACGATGCTCAATCTGAGTGACAGGCGATACAAGAGGTCAAATATTCAAGAGATTTCTATCGATTTGCAAAGCCGTCCAAGTCTCATTTATTTAAATAGGAACAGATCCGATCCGATGATTCTAATTAAAAGAACAAGTTATCGATATGCACTTTTTTAGTCAGCCCAATCATGAGAATAGGTGTGGATGTTAGAACTTACCCACACTTACACCCTAGCTTGTCACAAGGAAACAGGTAGGAAGATCTATCGAAGCTGAAGTAGAGTTGAAACTGATAGGATTTTATTCAATCAAAGAGAATGGACTGGTTAAAGTTCTTAACTTAACGGGCAAACCATCGACGAAAACCAAATGATTTCAAAAATATTCAATCGGGTCGAATTGGCCGGCTCAGTTCCAATTCTAGATCAGCGTATCTCTGTAGAAGAGGTGTCATATATCCAGAAAACCGAGGATACCGGAGATGTATCAAAGTCCCTTGTAACACACTATTCAATTATTACAGGTAGCTCGAATCTCTCCAGGAGATGCTGGAGATGTCGCATCTCTAGAAGAGATTTGGTGCGAGATTCGAGCTACCTGTAATAACTGAATAGTCTTTTATAAGGTACTTTGGTATATCTCGCATTTTCCTGTGCATCTCCTGCATCACTGATTTCCTGGATATGTGATAGTGCTGGTTTTTTTCCATATGTAGGTCTTCTGACCCTTAGAATATTCTAAAAGTTCCAGTGGAAACGGGTGCTTCCTTCTCAAGATAATGAATTTGTGGATGTGGATGTGAGTAAAACAACCACATCATCGCCCTCATCCTCACCCACATCCACCCCACACCCACACACCCACACCCCACACCCACACCCCACACCCACCCACACCCACCCACACCCACCCACACCCACCCACACCCACCCACACCCACCCACACCCACACCCACGCGCACACTCCGTCTAAGACATCATCCACACCACCACATCCACAGCCACACCCACATCCAAATTATTTCTTTTGCTTTTTGCTACTTTAACATGGATGCACCTTGCAATTTATAAATTATGATTTATATAAACTTTTTTTTTTGCTTTTTTGCTATTTTGGCATGCGTCTGCATTTTGGTTCGTAATGTTGATCAATGGATGGACTGGAAATTTTTTTCTTTTGCTTCTGTGCTGTCGGAATATGGAAGCAGGTTTTTTTGAATTTTTCCTTTATATTCGAACTCGAATTAGGCATCTACTCAAGTCGCTCGATAATGTTGTGCATTCATTATTTATTCGCTGGCATATATAATGAATTGATAAATTATACTTTTTTCACTTGTCCGATGAGACAGCCCAATTCGCATGAACGGACACATAATACATATTCATGTATTTTATTGAATGTATTTATATAAATACAATGCTAATGAATTTATTCAAACGAAAGTTATTTATTTTATACTGCGCATTTGTGTGAATTCAAGGTCTATGAGTTTTAGAAAAATAACTAAAATGAATCATTTACTTTATTTAATGCATTTATTTTGAAGAAAATGTTTTATAAATTTATTTACACTAAAGCGATTTATTTATTCATTTTATTCAGTTCATTTAGTGAATTCAATGTTTATGTATTTATTAAAAATACAATTAAAATGACTTACTTATTTTATTCGATGAGTTTGTGTGAATGCAATGTTTGAAAATTTATTTGAATTAAAATTATTTCTTTATTTAATTGAACATATTTTCTCTTGGAAAAGGAAAGTTTTAGTAGATTTTCGAGTTTCTAGAAAATTCTCGAATTGCTAAATTCTATATGAATTTATAGCAATGTCCATGAGAATTCACCTTTGATTTTCTAATTAGAAATCCGGATTTCTTATTTCTACCTTCTTAAATATCACATTTTCAAGAAAGTGGAAATTCGTCAATCAATTCATATGGACGTTCATAGAACATCCATTTTTGTGTACTCAAAAAGTGAGTACACTCTAGAATCGGCCAGTATGTTCGTCCGGCCGTTTACACGATAACTTTTGAAAGGAGAGTCAGATCACGATGAAATTTTCTACACAGTTTAGTCTTAACAATGTCTCGGTCGAGTTCGAAGATGAGCATGATCGGCCGAGCCATTCGTGAGTTATTACAAAAATAGTCATTTTTCCCTATGGCTTCCTATGCGAAAATCGACCCATCCCCACTTTCGTAAAAGACTTTTCCCATAATAATCAAATAAAACCCCAACTATTATATACCATTCGATAGAGAATTTCACGAGCTGCAAAATGGTATATAAAACATAAAGGAACGAGAAGGCTAACTCACCTATTACAAAGGTAATTAAACGGAAATAGGCTCCGTTTTTGTCCACCATCTAATTGACTAAAAATTCGAGCTCTATCTTCCGATCATAGAGTTGATACTTTGAGGTTTTCTGGGGCGGAGAACTCGAATCCGTACTCCACTTGCCTCGAAATACTATTGGTTGAGCAGTGACCAATAGAAATCAAGTTATAGGAAAAACGACTTTCTTAGGGTAAATTAAGGCGAAGAGTTGAAATTTGAGCTCTATTCGCCTCTAAGCCCTATTGATGGATCAATAGTCAACAGAAATAAACAGTTTATAGGAAAGGTTTCCCAGTATAATTTTGATATCCACATATTCTAGGATGACTCATCTGTCTAATTCACTTTTTGAAGTACACATAACTCTCGGATTTAAATCCGAAGTTTCTGCATTTATTATACTCTGTAATATATTTTTTAGGCTACAATGTAGTAGTAATAGATCAGATTATTGTTCATGTGTATTCTTTTTTTGGTTTTTTCGTTCTTCTCATATTTTTTTCTTCCTTTTATTTTTCGTCTCTTTTAATAACAACTCGTCCATATATTTCAGTCTACAAAAACTAATAATGGTGAAACAGAAAAAGAGATACAGAAGCAAGTTCAACTAGCGTTATTTCACTAAATATTCAAAATAATTAGCTTGGTTATCTACGTACAACTGCATTCTTTGGATACATTTCCCAGGTAAATACGAAATGCACTACAGACGCGTTTGAATGCACCTAAAATGAAACATTTGCCGCATCTCGCCACGTTTCTATCGACTTTTAGTCAGAGGTGTGTCTAGACATGTCAAATGTTTCATTTTAGCCGCTACTGAACATATCCGTACGCAGATGCATGAAACGCAGTTCTGATTGAATTGCGCTGAAACACGATTTTTCGTCTTTTGAATTTGTTCAGTAGCGTCTTCTTCAAGAAGGACGGGGGACGTTTTGCTTTGATATTGGTCCCAATAGAAAACATAGGCAGTTTCACATGAAACTTTCAGCAATTATAGGGCTCAGAGTCAGTAATCACTCCTATAAGTTTCAGCTTGATCGGTCAAGCTTTTTCCTTACTTTGATACTCAGCCATATAGACCCTATTGGGCCTTCTATGGGTTAAAGAATTATTCATTTTAGATGGTGTATATACATACTTTGACAGACGATTTATATACCATTCGATAGAGAACTTAATTCTGAACAAAAATTGTATAGATCCATTCAAGTAAAAACCAAAGATTGACTACAAAAAATTCTGAATACTCTTAATATGTGGTCATATACAGGCTTTGCTGGAACCTTGTGTACCTTCAATCTTCACTATATGATTCAGAACCGGAGTCATTTTTTCAATATCAATACTAATCATTAAGAGCTACAAAAGTGCTCGAATAAGTAGCTGCAAAGGGTATGGGTGTGTGTGGGTATGGCTGTCGATATGTGAGTGCGAGTGTGAGCGTGCCAGAAGAGAAGACCCATACCCACCCATGAAATGGACGATGATTCTTCGAGTCAATATGACCATTACAACAAACACATTCGATAAGAATTTTTATGTAAATGACTGTGAGATTTTCTGCTACTACCCGTTACTTCTGCCTCCGTGATATACGTAAGCCGAAAGATAAGTATTGTCCATTTCAGAGTAAAGTGGCCGTGGGCATTTTCTGAATAGCTTTAAAACAACATGAGAAAAATAACTCGAGCATTTAGCGCTGTCTAGAGTCGAACTTGCTCTATATTTTTATAAAGTCAACGAAAAATTCCAGTCACTTTCCTTCTAGAATATGTGCTGAGTTTTGTAGATGAGCCTAGTTATCTTTGAAAATAATATACTTTCTCAACTATAATATAATGGGCAGATAGCCCAGCTTCTTCTCTATCGGTCTACAAAAGGCCGAGATCGATAACCTTTTGCGTTCAAAAAATGTAAAGACTTTACTGAAGGTTACTCACCAATTTTTTTAAAGTCTAAGTAGCTAACTAAATATTTTCTACAATTTCTTAGTCGTCTTCAACTTCGTAGCATGATTTATTAACCTTTGAAGTTTTATTTCCGCCAGAAATGTCATCAAAGGCCATACACTGAACTTATTTTAATGCCAATGAATCCAGAGGCGACGGAATGTTTTCATATGGAATAAGGCTAGGCGCAAGATAATTCCTAATCCTACATAAAAGCGGGGTGATGCTCAGCTTAACAGAGCCAAATCTAGGTAAGGCTTAAGCCTTATCCAGTCTAGTGATTCTGCCACCTATGAATGAATCAATATCTTAAGTTAGTTCAGTCGATGATCTGTGGTGTAATAATGCATACTGAAGTAGCTTTTACCTAATATGATTCTGTTACATAATCAATGCAACTCATTGTGTGAATAAATTGAATGTTGTTTTCTAATAAATCAAGTTATTTTTGAATCGGTTTGCAACTGTCTTGATATGTGGGTAGCATTGATTTTTGTTTTGAACAATACTAAAAGGGTCACATTCCCTTAAACAGATAACTATACAGCAACCGGAACGGACAAGAAAAGAATGTAGAGAAGTACAACTGTAGAAGATCATAATGAAATGCAATGACAGGAGCAAGCCATGATTCTATATCAGTATATAATATTGTGATTCATGTTTTTTCTTCAGATTGAATACTGTAATGCCTACAGGTCAATACTACTCGTGCCACGAAGTTGAAGACAACTAAGAAATTGTAGAAAATATTTAGTTAGCTACTTAGACTTTAAAAAAATTGGTGAGTAACCTTCAGTAAAGTCTTTACATTTTTTGAACGCAAAAGGTTATCGATCTCGGCCTTTTGTAGACCGATAAAGAAGAAGCTGGGCTATCTGCCCATTATATTATAGTTGAGAAAGTATATTATTTTCAAAGATAACTAGGCTCATCTACAAAACTCAGCACATATTCTAGAAGGAAAGTGACTGGAATTTTTCGTTGACTTTATAAAAATATAGAGCAAGTTCGACTCTAGACAGCGCTAAATGCTCGAGTTATTTTTCTCATGTTGTTTTAAAGTTATTCAGAAAATGCTCACGGCCACTTTACTCTGAAATGGACAATATGTAGTGTTATGTGTTAAACATATCAATTAATATATACGTGAAACATCAAATCATGTATGTTCAATGATTGATAAAAAAGTAATCAAAATTTTGAATATCGAACAATTAACCTCAGGTTATATAAAAACATTGATACATCATCATGCAACAGTACACTCGAGTTGTATCATTATAATGCATTACAATGTATTTATATACCCGGGTTTATTATATTATTATGATATTATTTACAATGATAATGATATATTATATTAAAAATAAGATAAATTAATTCATTTTATATTTAAAATTACTTTTTTTTAGATGAGCTACGATATCATATAACATTGAGAGGTAGGAAAAAATCTTTTTACATGTTGACTTGAGACAACTTATATCGAGAAAAAATAAATACTATCAGTTATTATGAGTATGAGTACTTTTGAGATGAGATGAATTGAGTTGAGTTATGAATGTTATTGCTGTGGGTCAGAGAACTACGTTGTCTGATTCAATAGGGACAGAAACTTTGCCATAGCGAAGCAGTGTAGTACTAGGAAAGGCCTCTATGTGTCGTTGATCCCTACCGTTCATACGGCATACCTTCGGTCATTGCCTTACCAGTCCGGCG